ATATAAATAATTTATACTAACCACTTTTGCCAAAAAATTTTCAATGCTATTTTAGAAAATTACTAAGAAAAAAAATATATCTATCTTTAAGTAAATTTATATGACAAATCTGCATATGCTAAATGAGATAATGCTAGGATAGCTCTGGTATCTGGTAATAAACTCAGGAGTATTCTATCTAATTGATACCCATTCAGCTGAACAGAACTTGAAAATCAGCTTACTTGCATAAATCAAAATAAAGAAATTGCTATAGAGTATAGCAATCGATTTGTTAACAAATGATCTGTCTGGATAAAGACAATAAGTGCATACAATAGGATTTAAATCGATCTAATAAAGATAAAAAGAAACTTTTCAAGCATATCTACCAACTTATAGATAAGGTTAAGCAATTGCACTCAGAGTTAGATACTCTAACATTTCAGATTATTTACAAGGATATTTCTCTTAATGAATATAAAGACAAGATTTATACAAAACTAAAAAAGATGAAGGCTTTCCAGTCTAAGATAAAAGCATCAAAGATGAGACTATTTTTAACCCAGAAAAACTCATTTATGAAAGAATCTGAGATTAATTATCTTAGAGTCGAATTATCTGCCTTGAATTCTAATCTAGCTTTGAAAAATAGTGAATTAAAATATATGAAGAATATATTAACTTTAAAAAATAGTGAATTAGAACTAATAAAAAATGATTTGGCTAAAAAAATTTAGAGATATGCTTCTTAGAAACTAGACTCAAAGAGCTATTGCTCTGTAATAGATTATTATCAGAACAAGTCAAAATCAAAGATAAAACAGATGAAAAAATGATGATAATATATCAGTTATACAGTTTTCACCAAAGGATCTGAACACTTTATTTCTTGCAAAATATTTTGTATATAAGCCTAAGACAGAGAATAGTCAAATAGATAGAGATATCTAAGAACCTTTGACTTAACAAACTTTAATCAGTTTAAATAATAATATGGTTAAAGAATCAGAAATCTCTAATAAGAAGTGAATAAATAATGAGCAGGTACAAAGTAACATTTCTTTCAAAATAAATCCAGAGTATATTATATCTAAGATAAAGAATAATAATATATCAATAAGAAAGATTGAAGCATTACCTGTTACAATATTAGATGCTAACAAAGCTTTGGTTAATTATAAGTATCATATTCTTCTCATTGTTAAGCTTGTTGTTTTTGTTATAATAACAATAAGTTATTTGATATATATACAAGAATATTTTTCATCTAATCAAAAAAGAAGAAAATTTTTATTCAGTATATAGAAAACAGAGTTATAGATTCTCAATCTGCTATATAAAAAAATTCAAAAATACCTTCTATGAAACTATTTCTTATAGATATAAATGAAGCTAATAAACATGTTGCATTTCATTATTAATCTTATCTAGCTAGTCCAATATGGCTCTTTAGAATAATAGTTACAGGATAAAGTAGATCAGGTAAGACTAATATCTTAACAAATCTTTTTCTTAATGATAAAGCTAAATATATATATAAAGGAAAAAAAGGTGATAGGAGATATATTTCTTGTAATGATTTAATAGTTTGTAATTATTATTCTAACAAGCCAAAATAGGCATTCATTAGATATATGTATAGCATAATTTCAAAAGACTCAAAAGCACCTTACTATAAAAATATATGATTTAGTTATATATTACCAGAAAAAATCTCTAGTATAAAAGCATTTCACTTGAATGAAGTACAGCAATTGTTTTTGAGGATTTGTGTCTTGCTTCAGAATATATACAGAATCGAATTGGCCAATTTTTTGGAAATAAGTAACATTAAAATATTTCATATATATTTGTGGCACAAAAATATCATAAAATCACTATATTTATACATGAAAATGCTAATTACTTAGTACCTTTTAATTCTGGTAATTTATATGAAGATGTTTCTAAAATTATTTATAGATATACAGATGATATAAAAAATGCATTAATGGTTATTAACAGCTACTTACACAAATGCAAATTTATTATATTTGATCTAAATAGGCCTGAAGATGATCTATTTGCAATTCATCTAAAGTTTAATACTCTACTAGATTTGCAAAAAAAGATAAAGTTATAGCAAAAATGCAAGATAGGTTCAAAGAACTATTGTTCTGCAATAAAAAATGCATTATCTGCTAAGCCTACAAATTTTGAACCTGAAAAATCAAAATAAAAAGTCTATAGTGTTATAGTATGCACTTTATAGATTTTTATTTTACTTCATGCACTACCCAATTGTGATCTTAAAAATAGCATTAGAAAAACAGTAGACAACAACTTTATGCAAAAAAGTTATATTAATAAATCAAATAAACAGATATATGTTATAATAAATTAAGCTATACATTGTTAATTTGATATGTTTTTTTACTAATTTCCTATAAGAGTTTATAATGCTTAACTAAATGTATAGCACAAAGGTCAGAGAGTCAGTAATAATATTCAATAAATTTTCTTTGTATAATCCTTATAGCTTGAATTTTTTTTTCAATCTCTCTTGCATGTTTAACTTTTCTGATAGCATTTTGCATCCACAATTTATAACAATAAATTGCTTCTTTTTTGAAGTAGGAGTTGCTAACTTTGGATCTGCTTTTAAGTTTTATATAGTCTTTATAACTAATATCACAATAAGCATTTCTTGTGCAATTTGTGCCTCAATGCTCATCCATAAAATGATAAAATCTATACCCATACCTACATCCTATTTTAGAGTAAACTAGTTTGTTGCATGAATAACATATTGCTATATTTATGCCTACAGCATGGCTGAGATCACCTTCTCATAAATATTTTATTTTTCTAATAATAAGATATTACTTTTTATTATTAGTTAAATGATTATTATTCTTATAATTAATCAACTAATCTCAAATTCAGGTCTTTCAATCAGATAATATTTCACCTTTGTGGATTACTAAAAATTGACAGTTATTTCTTCATTCAATATCCTTAAACTGGACATTTATCTGTATAGATCATATTTAACAATTAAGTAATTTATATCAAATTTAGAAATTTAGACCTATTAGATTCTATTAACTTAATACTTCCTTAATTCTGAATTTAATTTTTGCAAGAGATATTATAATGAATAAATATCGATTAAATATATTAAGTCAGAGGTTCTATTACTTAATAAAGATGAAATTTTTTGCATAACTATTTCAGAAAGAAGTATAATAAATAAAAAGTGAAATGAATATATTTGAACTATTTTTCATCACATAGCTTAGTGGACTAAACTGTGTGAAGCCTGTAATCTTCCTTTTCTCACTATAATAGTGTATAGAAAAAATATATATAGGAAAAAAGTTTTGTATAACTATTATAGAAGTATAATAAAAGTGAGATAAATACTTTTAAACTATTTTTATTATATAGCTTAGTAGACTAAACTGCAGGAAGCTTATTTGGTCTTTCTTTTCTTACTACATGGACAATGATAGTTAATGATCATGCCCTCTAAAATTGGGTTTTCATAAGCATAAAAAAAATGAAGTCAGATGCCCTATCATTTAATAAAAACAAAATTTTTTGCATGACTATCAGAAGAAGTAAATTGCAAAAAGGTAATAGTTAGATTTTAGGCCTGCCTCAAAAAGCTATAACTACATCTAAGAAAACTATATATTAAAGATACAGTTAGGTTGTATATTTTCATAGATCAGACAAATCACCTTTATTAAAGTATAGGACTATTATGGCTTTGTTGAAGTCCATAAACCTATGTGAATAACTTAAGTGACCATCTTATCAACATGAAGGTAATCTAGTTTAGTATAAAAAAATAGAATATCAATAGGCTCAAAAAGCTATTGCTCTGCAATAAAAAATTTTGGTTATAGAATGAAAAAAAAAGTTATATATGAAGATACTATTGTCTTATTTGTTATATATAATAATTAATTCAGGCTGTCTATATTGCAACATAGTTTATAAATAATTGTTAGCCTCATATTTGTTTTTAAGAAGCAGATTATTTAATAATCCATAAATATTTATATATATCAGTCATGTATCAAAAGAATTTTACACAATGAATAAAGCATATATTAGACATTTAATCAACATGCAACATGATTTTTAGGACTGAATTTGATATATTTGGTATTTACAAATTTAGAATAAGCATTATGAAAAATATACTAGGCTATGAATATTCAAAAGAGTAGATTTGTTTTCAAAAATACATATGTATACTATTTTAATACAACTACATTCTATCATCTGACATATATATAAATTTTATTGTATTAAACTGTAACTTTCCATGATTGTTTTCTAATCATATATAAGGATTTAATAAATTTTTCTGTGATTGTTTCATGATGGTTTCCTAATCGTAAAGATCAAGACTAGCCCAAATTAAATTTTATATAGTATTACCTTAATTTCTCATATTCAATTTTTTATTAAGTTAATAAGTTGTGCTAATAATAAATAGTAACTAAAACCTTTCTTACCTTATATGTGATCTTGTGATAAGACTAGGGCTTAAAAAGACTATAAGGGTAATAAGTATAGCATTCTTAATCAGTAGTTTATTCAAATTCATATGTTGCAAGGATTAGGAATTTCTGCATTTCCAAGATCATCAGATCTAAATCTATCTTAAGTGATCAATGATTATAAGGAGCTTAATTTTACCAGAAAAATAACAAAATAGATCAGTGTTTTGAACTTATGCCAAGTGGAGTTGCTTTATAAAAAAAAAACTGGCATTAGATTTGGCTAACATAATTACTAATAAATTTTTCTTTCTGGCAGGTTTTCAGACCTAATGAATATGAAGTATAAAATAAGCAAGTTTCTACTCACAAGATAAGTTAGCAATACTGTTATTTTTCACTTATATATATTTTATTTGATTTATTTGCCTGTAATTTATTTTTAAAGTATTATTTCTACTATGTTGGTCAGATTCTAGAAAGTGAAACTAATTATAATTTTATATTTAAAAGTTACACAAAATGCCTTCTGCAAAATATGGAATAATCTTAGTTGAAGTTGGTAAATAAATTAATTCTTTTATTACATTTGTTAATAAAATATAATTAAATGTTATTTATTGTTAATTTTTCTAGATAGTCCAAGTTCATGAGTAGATAGAAAATCTATCAGTTTGTGTAGAAATAGTCCTGATAAACTGCAAGAGCTCACTAAAAAAAAGCTTTTCTTGTAAGTTATATATTTTTTTAAAATCATTTTATAAAGCTTATATTATATAATTTTGTTTTTCTTACATCTATATATCATTTGTACTATTTTACAAAACTATAATATGTTTCTAAAAAAAACAAATGGGCTATCTTTCAAATTTGATGAAAAAGAATTCAATCTTGATAATATTATTAGAAGTAAGAAGTGAGATACTTAAGTAGTAGAAGAATTTAAATTTTAATTAAAATATGAAAATGATCTTCTTACCGAAGATGGTTTTTAAAAAAATTTTTATTATTTTTTTTATCTGTATATTATTATTTCTGTAAAAAAAATTATTAAATAAAAAAGAAGGTTTTATGGCCTCCTTATATTTTTTTTACATGATTCTTTTAATGCAATTTGCAATTATTAATCTATGCTCTTATGGTTATTATTGAAATTAAATTCTAATATTTATTTATATAACAATAGAGATGATAAGTTTTTGTATTGACATATTTGTCACTATTCCAAATACTCTTTATATAATTTCTTATATTTTCTTTTTTATGATTTTTATTACATAAAGGACAGAGTACAGATCTATTAAAATCAAAATAATTACTATATTTAAAACTATATTTTAAAGTTAAATAAGTAAATTGTTTTAATATTATTTCAATAATATGTTGTTGCCTTTCTTCAAGGTCTTTAGATAGAATAGAAATTGATAATCTAAGTTTGAATAATGTTGGTTGAACATTTATCTGTAGTACAAATAACATCTTTTTTTCAACATTTTTTTTGATTTGTGAAGACTCAAAGGTTTCAGAGTTTATTTAAAGATCAAATTCAGTTTTATTCTTATATCTTTTATATAACCTAGAATGAATTTTATTTATCAAAATGTCTGGCAATTCTATTAATTTAGCTTCTCATTTTAAATATTCAGGTGTTAATGTTTTATTAGCTTTTGCTTATATATCCATGTTCCTGTTTTATATACAGACTACACATCTTTCTAAATTAACAATAACCAACAAAAAAACAAATATGGCTTAGAAAACTTAAGCAAATTGTGCTTGTATAAGTTTAATATTTATGCTGTTATTTCAATTTTAATTCTACACTGTTCACATTTAATATAGTAGAATCCAACTTTATATCTGCCTTCTATTCTATTTTCATAATGATTTAACTTACATAATGAACATAATGATTCATTAGTAATTCTGTAATAATCTTCATTTTTACTACTACTATCTTGATATAAATTAGGATATTTATATGAAGGACCAGACTAATAATGATCAGACCCAACATACAGGGCAGATTATGGTATTTTCTGCAACTGTAAAACTAAGTATATGGCAAGTGTATTTATAGAAGGAAACTCTAACTTCTCAGATCACAATCCATCACATCCTTCTAAGAACCTTTTTACTAAAAATATATTTTCATCTATATCTAAAAAACCTTATATATCTAACATCTTTATTAACACTCCAATAAACTCAAACACTACTAATAATGATCAAAACTTACTAACAGAAGATCTAAATGATACTATCGACTTACTAACAACAAACATTATTAAAGAAAAAACTAATTCACAAATCTTTAATCTATCTAAAATATATAATCCTTCAACATGCTTCAACAAATTTCTCTCATTCTACAACTTACAACTCTTACCAACACCATAATTAATAGGCTTTTTTCTAAAATTTATTCAAACTAACTATTTAACATATTATTTTGAGCAATATATTAACATTTCTATTAAAACATCTAACAATAACATTTACAAAAAAGCCTATATCCATCTTCTACAAGAAACTAATTTTCTATTCAATTTTACTTATATTCTTTTTCAAAAACTCCTAGACTTTCAAAATGTTCTACTTAAAACAAACTGTTTTTTAACAAGATTCAAAATACTATCTCTTCTAAGTTGCCAAAAATCTCTCTTGCCAACTTCACCTTCTAACCTAGATCTACTTTTCAATACAATACATATTAATAACAATTTTTTATTATCAGAAAACCCAGATATCACAAAATCAATCAAAATACACTCTTTCAATATCAATGATCTTTTAAACAATCTCAAACAACTTAGTCTAATTGACTTTATTTCAAAAAATCAAATAGATATTTTTGGAATTTTAGAAACACATCTATTTACTAAGGAGGCAAAATTCCCAACTTTATCTCAAAAACTTATAAATTATAAATGCTTTTGGACACCTAGCAATGCTCATCAAGATGGTGTAGAAATATTAATTCACAACTCTCTTGCTAAGCATATTAGAAAACTTCAAATCTATAAGAACTTTATTTTAGAAATTGACCTATTTCTTAAAAATTTTCATATTAAACTTATTTAACTATATTTTTCAATCAAAAGAAAAATAATTTAGAAAAGATATTCTCTTATATCTTACACCTATTCTTAATCAAATCAACTACAAAATAGTTCTTATAAGAGATCTAAACAGAGTTTCTAATCCTAAACTTGACAGACTACTATTAAAAAGCTTTAATACATCAGAACATTCTCTTCTAAAACTCCTTAAATCTCTTCAATTCTATGACACATATAGGCTCTTCTTTTTTTTAACTCCAGCATTTACATTTATACATAACAGTCACAGCAGAATTGACCAAATATAGACTAATATCTATATTACACTTCTAGATTATGCTGATATCCTATCTAACCTATTCACTCTAACTGACTACTCAATAGTATCACTTGAACTCACAATTAACTTATCTAAAATAAACCTGTAATTACTTGAAACAAGAACTAAATATCAATAAAACTAATTACAAACAAACAAATAGAAAATTATCAATCTCATACAGAACAAAATCTTCAACTACTTCTTACATCTATTATCAACATTACTCAAAACTCAAAACTTAACAATATATGGAATCAAATTAACAAAGCTCTAACCAAAGCAGTTCAAAAACATATTCCATTCAAAAAAATCAAAATTAATCTTTATCAAAACAAACAACAACCATCCTCTCTCACACTACTATATAAATAACTCAAATAAGCAATTTTTCTTAAAACAACTTTTAACAAACCCAACTTTTTACAAACTTATAACTTATATATTAATAAATATTCACAAAATACTTTACTACCACCCTCTTACTTAACACTAACTAATAACAATTCTGTTTTTACTTCACTTTTAATACTTCTTATTACTAAAATCAAAATGCTAAAAATGCAAATCCTCAAAGAAAAGTAAGAAAATACAATAAAAAAAATTCAAAACAAACTTAAAGAAAGAAACAATAACTTTTATTAAAATTTCAAAATATTTTTCCAAAATGTTCTAAAAAGACAAAATAATAGTATAAACCTAAATCGACTTTTCTCTAATAATATACTTACTACATAACTAACTGAAATAAAATAAGTTTTACAATCTTATTTTCAAGACTATTTTTAAAAACTATCATATTTACCAATTCATGAAAATACAAAATATTATGAACTTTACAAACTATATTCAGAAAATGAACAATACTTTGTTAATCTTTTCTCAGAAATTACTCCAGAAGAGTAGAACAAAGTTATATATAACCTTCCTAACCAAAAAGCTGCTAGTCTCTCTGAAACCAACTATGAACATCTAAAACATTTAAACTCCAAAGGTCAAAATATAATTTGACTCTTCTTATCAAAATGTCTTACATTACAACAAATTCCAACATTATAGAAAACATCAAACATTTTTCTAATTCTAAAAAAATCCTTATAGAACTTCATTATAGACTAAGTCAGATCTATTTCTCTGATCGAACTTATAAAAAAAATATTTTACTAAAATATTTACAACCTGTTTTGATCAAATCATTATTCAGCATTATCTATTAAGTAACTTAAACTTCACAGCAACTAAGAATAGCTCAACTCATATTTTTATACAAATATTACTAAATATAATTGAATATTACAAAACTAATAATAAAGAGATATCTACCAACCAGGCCACCGGAACGAACCGGAGGAAAAGGATATTGGGCTGACCCGATATACCGATGAACTGGTCATAGTCCTACACAGGCTATCTGGATTGGGAGTCTGGTAAAAGGGAGGGGGAAAAGGCAGGGGTATACTAAAGTACCGGGGTTATGCTGTGAAGTAGATGCTAGAGTCTAAGTGAACTCTACAAGGGCATAGCAGTTTAATAGTTAGCCCTGACCGCAAGTGTTGGTTCTGCCATAGCGATACCTAGGTCAGCTGTAAAAATGGGTACAGAAGGCTCTGGGG